ACGTTCGTTCTTCATTCTCTTCGTTTATCTTTTCGTGCAAGTAGGATGCCAATGATTATGCGAGTGCCTGGAAGCGTTGTTCAACGTGATCGTCTTTCTGCTTGCATAGATTACGAAGTAAAACGTTCGAAATCGTCGCTAGGGGAGAACCGATATTAGATTTGCGAATGATGATCGCTGTAGAAAAATCAAAATCGGGACTCCTTAAGGTATAATTTGTTATTCAGCGGCTCGAGATAAAAGGATAAATCTCGAACAAAATAGGTAAGATAGAGAATTATATGAAACGTGTACAACAGGCGCCGCTAGGACGGGTCCGATGAATATGATCGTCGTCATTAAATCGTTGGAGTTAGCTTTTACTGATCTCTCGGATGGATCATCTACAATATATATATATATATATCTTCCAGTAAGGCGTTGAATAAAGTAAGGATGATATCATCGCGCCTGAAATATCTATAATTTCTAATATTAGAGTCCCGATTTTATAAATTTTGTCGATTTTTTGTTCTTGTTCTTTTTTTAAAATCAATGCACAACAGAGATCGAAGTTTTACAGGATTCGACGTAAACCTGAAATCAAATTAGATTATAATACGTACACACATAAATTCGTCGCTTCTCGATCATTTCTCGACCGTCGTATACATATCTCGTGAGTTTGTCATTTTTAATATTTAAATTTAAAAATGTTTATATATATATAAATGTGAAATTAGAAATATACACGTGGATTTTCCCTTGTGTGATGAAAATTATTTACGGGTATGTTGATTCGAAAAATCTTTGGTATTTCAAGATCGACCTGCCTGAAACATTTGTAAAATAGCATTACAGATCAAAACGAAAATCTTGAAGGCTATCTTGTCTCATTTTTCTCGTTCCTCTTCTCTCTCATTTTTTATTAAGGGAAGAACGCCAGCGGTTTGCCGCGGTATCTGCTGCTTTGGTCCAGGATAATTATTTATGTCAGATAGGATCTCGACTGGGGTTCTACGTCGGGAAACAAAAGAATTCGGCGATGGAAAGGATAGGAGGAACTAAAAGGGAAGGAAGAGGATACTGAAAGGTTGTGCCGGAGGATCACCGAGCTCTATTCTTCTTTCTAAGATCTAAGAAAGACTCGAAAGAAGAAGAGAACTGGCAGAAGAGAACCTTCATGGAAAAAAGAAAAATGGGTCGACTCGAAAAAACCAAAGATCCTTGAAATATATTACATATACGTACAAAATATGTATATAATACTTTATTTATTTGATTGGTATATAATAAATGACAAACTCTACTAAATATTGGGAACGTAATTATCGTGCTTCCCACTGTCGCTAAATTAACGACCTATTTGCATGCGACGTTATTAAATATAATTCATTTTCTTTTTTTTGTCCGAGAACAGCGGATATATAGAAACATAAACGATTATTTTCATGAGATGTAATACTTTGTCTTGTTGATGAGCGTTTGAATTAGTGATTATAAATCTGTAAATAAATAATTAATATACTTACGACTTGTGTGTGTGTGTGTAAGTGTATGTGTGTGCTATAAATCAATTTCTTACGAAATTTCGATAATTGAGCCAACTTTTCTCTATCAACTATGGTATAATATCATAATACGCTTTATTATATACGAATACAATACCTTATTTCGTTGACATTTTGTAAACGGTAAAAGAAATAGATAAGCTATTTTTATAACGCAAAATTATTCTCCAATTATTTGAGTCTTATCTCGTATTGTAATAAGATCGTGATAAGAGTTTTTTTTTCTTACAATTAGATCGTAATGCGAGAAAACGATGAATATATTTTATTAACGTGACATTTAGGAAAGATTGTAAAACAAGACAAAATGAAATGCAAAATGATTTAAAGAAAGAAAATTATTTAGACACGCGATCTCGATATACCTATGTACATTATATACAATCTTTAATACTACTGGAAAATCTAGTCTTACCAGTTACGATACTTGGCGCCAGTTAACCCATAGACACCGTTAATCTCGGCAGGACTACGTTGGTATATAATTGTAATGCATTTACCATTATATAGATATATAATATATATATATACGTATATATACTTATATAACATATTAATAGATTTTTTTATTGGCGAAGCAGCAATTTGAAGAAAAGTTCATTTATGCAACTAGAAAGTAAGGAGATTACATCGATAGGAGAAGGGAGGATGGTAGAAAATGATGAAGCAAAAATCTTGAAATACGAAAGAGAAAACGATATTTACTGTATAAGACGTGAGAGAGAAGCTTCGACCTTCGATTCTTTCGATTTTAGGATAAAGAAAGCGGTATTCGGAAGGGTAACGAAAAGAGGAAGGTCCTGCCGTTCACAGCATGTGGCGTTGTACCCTTCGCTTGTAAAACAACTTGTAAAACGCGACTCTGAGACGAGTCTTGTCAGCTCTGCTTTCGTAGTGGCGCTTATCTCGACGGCAAATCTATTGGCTTGTTGTTTTTCAAAAAAATACTCGACTCAAAGAAGAAAGGATATCTACTCTTCTATCCTATCCTTTCTCTTTTTTTTTTTTTCTTTTATTAAGAACGATTTTATATCAGTTAAAAAAGAAAAATTATTCGCTGATGCAAGTATATATAATATACGGTAGGTATATTACCATTGCGTAAATTTATACGATAAATAAAGTTAGAATAGTTATAAATAAAAATTCTTTTTTCTTTTTCTATATTCATTATACCGTTATTAAAATTATCCTTTCAGCCGCAAAAGAATTTTACAAAATATCGCGTATAACATTTATAACTTTGTACAAATTTATTATACGAATTTAATTGAAACAATATTATTTAGAAAGAAGATAAATTTATCTTAGAAGAATAATTAGTGAAACAACGTTTCTCTATATCTGAACAATAATAAAATTGATTGGATGAAGAAATAAAAAGTTTTTCATTGATAGAATACTGTAAAAGTTTAATTGACGCGATAATAGCGTGGCTTGTTAAAATTAATAGAATTAATAAAACGTGATTTTAGCGTCGCCCGCGGCTGATAGGTCCAAAAAGAGAATTCGTTTATTCTTCTATACTTATTAGTAATATTAATCATTCTTTACTATTCGCACCTTTTTTTTTATCATTCGGCATAGAAATTAAATTTCCATTTGTATTCGGATAATAAGGGGTTAACATAGTTTGAATATTATACAAAAATATTTGATTCATTTTGTTTTTTATTCATTATTATTTTTATTATTAAAAGATAATTTATTTTTGTTTCATTAACAATAATATTCATTCGCGACTCTTTTTTTAGTCTTTCTTTTTACCACTACCTTATGTTAGTTAAGAAAATAAATTCTCTTTGTATCTAGAGAGAAACAGTTAACGAGCTAGAAATACGACTTAGGAAGAGAAAAGTAGAGAAATAGGATATCTTCGTACGCTTATCGGATGGAAAAGTAAGATAAGAAGCTCCAGTTCGAAGAAAGTACGTCGAGTAAATTACGCGGGTGACGTGAGTATCCTTCTGTTGATCTATCAATCTCTCCAAAGCAAGTTTGTTCTATGTAATCAAAGGAAAGAGGTAAGGAAAGGAATGGAAAGGAAAGGAAAGGGAACTGGTGGTTGTTCCTTGGCTAGTTGGTTTACAACTTTACGACGTTCAGTTTCTGCTGCGGCCCTGTAGTCACAAACAGAAACAGGCCCATCACCACCACTACTACTATATTAACTGTCAGTATTATTTTTTTTACCCGACAACTTTTGACTGTGCTAACAAACACTTTGATGATTATCTGTCGAGTCTGGTGGATTATCCTTTCTTGAGGTCAGAGCAGGGCCAATCGAGGTAGACCGAGTGAACTTACCTGTACAAAAATAGAAAAAAAAGTTAGTTGACAGAAAGTCAAAAAAAAAAACAAATTAAATAAGTTTTATAAATAAAAATACATCAAATAATGTGTTTAAATGTAATTTTATAAAAATAAAATCTTATAACAAAAGTAAAAGTATAGTTTTATGTTAGTATGATTTTATAGAATATACAATAAAAGAACAAATTGAAAAAACATATATATTGTATAATATATAATAGTAATTTGTTCATCATTATTGGAATATTAGATGCGTACAATTTTGTTACCGTACGTAGTACTTTCGTTCGTGTATAAACGAATGATTTGGACGAAAATTTGGAAAAAAGATTTTTCTAGAACAAAATAGTTTTAGGAAGGTAAATCCGGTACGATGTGAAGGACGTTAACGGTAATCGAGCTTCTTAAAGACCTCCGGCAGCGGTCATTTTATCGGCTCCTCGAGAGTAAAATATTCCGACAGGCTCATTTCGGTCAGTGCCTCGTTCCGCGTCCTTGCTATCTCTTCTCGCTAATGGATCCTTTGGTTCTTCGATGCGAACACTCCTTTTTTATTTTTTTATATACATTTTTTTTCTCTTTTTTTCTTGTACAGAACCATTGGAACCTCATCTATCCAAACATACACATACATACGAAAGTTACGACGAAAATTCGAACTACGACGCGCGAATACGAAGATCCAACAAATTGCGAATGTATCGAACAAAGGAAAAAAAAATTCTTACAGGGATCCCCCATCTTTTTCACCCCCGCTGGGAGAAACGAAGAAAAATAAAGGAAGAAGAGAAAACTACGTTTGAACTGCTAATAATCGGGAATGATACAAAGTTCAAAGACGTAACATTGATGCGAAGGCTATCGCTTCTGCTTTTTTTACGTAATTGTTCATTATTAATGAGTTTGCTAATGATTAGACAAATATTTTTCATTTAATCTTTATATATATATGTATATATTATACGCGCGAGATTATCACTTTATATTCAATGTATCGAATGTTTTGATTTATTAATTTTTTCCCCTTGTCATATGAAAACTCTTTATAAATACATTGACATTACGAGCGGGGAATATTTTATCACAATACGTTGGAAAATCCGCAAACTTCCTCGTGAAATAATCGGGTATTCACATGATTTTGCCTATATAATGAGCGCAAAATCTGGTAAATGGTTAAGTATCATTTTAGTAATCGTCGAGTATCGATCTGCTAGTAATCGAAATTTCTCTTGTTCAAAAATGAAGATTTACGTTCTCGTGTCTGTTGTGCTGGTTATTGCAACGGTTATCACCGCTGCACCGTATGAATTATCATCGTCTGGTGAGTAAAGTATAATATAAATTATGCGAAGAAAATTGTGTTCGTCGATGAAAAAAAAAAAAAAAATATGATTGAACGTTTCTCTCATTCGCGAATTAGGTGAGTTTGAACCACTCGAAGAGATCGCAGAAGAGCCATTGGAAGAACGTGCTACTAGACAAAGAAGAGTGACCTGTGACCTTTTATCTGCTGGCGGTTTCGTTGGTGATACTGCATGTGCTGCTAATTGTTTGAGTATGGGTAAAGCAGGTGGACATTGTAATGGCAGCGGTGTTTGCGTCTGTCGACAGTAAGTTATCTATTATTTTGCTTATTAACATGTTTAACGTTCGATACGTAAGAGTATATTAAGCCATTACATGTCTCCGTCTCATTGTTTTCTTTCTTAACACTATGCATCATTTACATCCTGATGCGATCATTTTAATAATCCACATGTGAGATACGAGTTCATTGGTGAACGATCATTGTTAGATCTATACAAGTATAATATTAACTGATTTTAACACGAATAATTTGCAAAATGTAATTATTAAAAATTGTATATTCGCAATTGTTTATATTAGATATTTTGTTTTTTTTCAGAGATTCTATCAAAGATTTATTCGACAAACGTTTCGGTTAACGACAACGAAATAAGGATTATTATTAACGAAATTTGTATTACTTATTATAAAAATTATATACTCTTTTATACTTTATAAAACATTTCTGTACGTACAATATAATAAAACAGTTGTTTCGATAAAAAGTTATTTCTAAATTAAATTGACAAAAAATAAAGAAGGAATTTGTATATTTACTATTAAAATATCATAGAAAAATATGAGATATTTGAGATTCTCGTATAGAAATCGTGATACGAAAGGTGCATGTAAGAATAATTACATATTAAATAATCGATTAGTTTTCGAGGAAGAATCTTTTTTATTATTTTAGAGAATATATTTCGCTTTGATATCAAGAAGGACCGGTTGACGACCATTAATCGTTAAGAAAGTACCACTACCACTACCACTACCACTACCACTACTGAGTGGTGCATCTATCTCTTGTCTTTCTCGTAAAGAGTATCGAAGCTTTTTCCTTTTCCACAATTCCTCTTCTCTTCTCATTTATTTTCTTTCTTTCTTTCCCTCTCTCTCTCTCTCTCTCTCTTTCTCTCTGTTTCTCTCTCTTTGTTTTTTTTTCAGCTTCTCGTAAAGTGCACTCAGCTTGGAGATCGAGACGCGGAGTTATAATTGCCTACTCGACGAGCTCGACATTCCACGTGCGTTAAAGTTATCGCGGTTGGATCGTCGCACTCGCCATAATGCTTCTCTTCTTTTTAGAGTTCTTTTTCCTTCTCTTCCTTCTCCACCTTTTACTCATCTTTTTCTTTTTCTTCTTCTTCTTCTTCTTCTTCGATAGCAGAACCACACCAGGTATACGTACCTACCTCCAGCCTTTTTGGTTCTCGCAACGAAAATAAGTAAACATATCGAAGATATCTTCTACGATCTTTACCATCAACTATTATCTCTCCCTTTTTTAATACAGCCCTTAAGGAAATCCTTTAAGACTAACTAACCTATCGAATCATCTCTTTAGCGTTATTATCAATATCCCGTTGCAAAAAGCATTTTTGGTTAACTTTAACTCGTAGGTTACCTGTAGAAAATATTTTCTCCACTTAGTATTTTACTGTTTTACTTTTTGTTTTTTCTTCATACTTTTTCAATACTATTTTCTATAGTAACGTTGGCATGGTCACGTCGGCTTGCCTCTAATTAGAATAATTAACAAAGCCGTGTTCTATGAATCTCTTATTCTTTTCACTTGTCAACATGGTTAACACAACAGGTTGGTGTTCGTTCGTTCGTTCGTTCATATCGACAAACTCGTCTGGAACGAAAATTACTTTGAAAGAGAATAAATAACGGGGTTGGGGGGGAGGGGTGGGGGGAGGGGTGAAGAGGCTGAGAGGTAAGGTAGGGAAGAAATCTTTGAGGATACGATAAAAAGAGAAATAGTAGAAGAAGAAGAAGAGGAATAAGAAAGGGAATCGGTGTCGAGCGACGAATGGTACCGCATTCTGCCGTCATGTTGCATGCAAATACGACGTCCTGAGAACGCTTCGTTCCGGGTGGCACGCACAACCGTATTCTTGTCTCCCTTTCTAGCTTCCCCCCCATCCCCATCCCCCCTCCTCCTCCTCCTCCCGCCCCCTTTTCTCTTTCTCTCTTCAGTTTCTTTCTTTCATTCTTTCTTTTTCCTTTTCTCTCTCTCTCTCTCTCTCTCTCTCTTTCTCTCTCTCCCACCGTTTAGCCGTGAGGGTAATTAATTTCGAATGCTAACCGCTTCTTCTTCCTCTTTTTCTTTCTTTTCTTCTTTCGCGGAAGAACTCGTCGAAGACCGTCGCAAGCAAGCAAGCAAGCAAGCAAGTAAGAAAGCAAGCAAGAAAGCGAACGGTGTCACCGTCCCTTTTTCAAGAACTTCATTCATTCAACGCGTTCGACGGTTTCTTTCTGTTTTTTTATTTTTTCTTCTACTTCTTCTTTCATACTCCCGCGACGAACGGGTAATTCGCTTCGCGAAGCCACCAAGTACGAGGTGTTGGTAATAACTGATTTGTATAATGTTTGTATATATATATATTTGTTTCAATGTAAATTATTTGTGGTTCTATAGACAAATGGATCGTATTTATAAGTTAACACGATTGAAATAATATATGATTAGATATCGTTACTTAATTCATCGAGCTTTAAAACAATTATTCTTATTTTCTTAATTAGAATGATTTTGAATAATCTTATCTTTCCAATAGATACAAAATAATAATTGTACTGTTCATTATATCAAACATTTTGCTTGTATTATTAACTCGATTATTATCGAGCAAGGATAATTAGCGAACTCGATATGTTCACGAAATGTATCTTTCTCGATCGCGATAGCAAAGAGTTCATTGGCTAACATTCAAGCCAAGTATAAAATATCGGATGACTCAGCCATTGTCCAGAAAAGCAAGGATCATGTTCATTATTTTCCCTCGTCCGTCTTATTTATCGTGTTTTTTCTTTTTTTTTTTTTTAAATACAACTTAAAACATACGATTATTTTTTTTTCTATACGCGAATCTTGACGGATGTCAAGAAAATCGATGTCCGTTCTCGATAACTACCGTTAAAACATGCGATATAAATCTGATCTACATCGATTGAGAAAGATGGAAGAGAGATAAGATCGATGTTACGAACGCGAGATGATGCGAACGAAATTTTTAATGAGAGTTGCCTGCGTTTTTGTTAATTAAAATTCCATTGGTTCGAATCTTTTGCCAATAATCAAGCATTGTTGCTTCCATTGCAACGATCAATGTGGTTCGAAGTCATCGAAATGCTGTAATTTACATTACATACAAACTGCAAATATATTTTCTGTACGTAATATATATTTGTAAACGTATATCCTTTGTGACTTTTTTAAGGGGTTACATAGGTTTACACCGGGAAGAAATAGCATATTTTCAACAATTTTTTTTTCTATATAAAAAATAGAATTCTTATTCAAACTTTTTATAACATTTAAGATACATATTTAAAGAACATTTTCTGAAATTTTGGTTGAAAAATATTTTAAACTCAGCCATTGCGACATCATTTTCGGTGACCCCACCGAAAAAAAGTGTTTTCGCATTGACAGCAGAACTCATAAACGGTGGGGGTTTTTTAGTGGAAAAAATAGGGTCTTTTAGTGAATACCTAAAACTAGAAATTGGACGAAGGAAAAAAGAAAAATTGAAATTTGGATTTTTGGCAACGTTTTTGGCAAGAACATTCAAATTTCGCTACAATTTGCACCACATTTTGGTTTTTTAAAATTCGATTTGATGAAAAAAAAATCCTTCGTCCAAGTCCTTGTCAATAGTATCTCGAAGACGTGTAGCAAATTTCATCAAGATCGGTTAAATAGTTTTCGAGAAATCTTGACAACCGACTTTAGAAAAGTTTTGAGTGCTGATAAAAGAGCCATTTAAGAGTGGAACTTCCCAAGGCTCTATCTTTTAAACTATTACTCCTATCAACTTCAAAATTAAATACAATATTCTAGATAAGTTGTAGAATTTAAAAAGATAAAAAAGAAATTGATTTTTTTGAAAGTCCCAAACCCATGTAACCCCTTAAAGATTAATTTGCTTCACCGAAGTTAACAACTCTTCGTAGAGAACATTAATTTATATAATATAATATGTGTATATCTTAACATAGTAATATGATTTTAGCCAATTGAATTGCGAATAATATATTTTTTTTTACTTGGAAATAAATAATATAAATTTAATGCGTTTCCAGAGCGCATTTTGTACAAATTACAGGATTCTTACAAACTACCGGACACGGTAGTTTGACCGCGAGTGATAGATTTAGTATTAGTTATGTCAAGTAGATCGAAATATGTACTCTCCCTGTGATATCAAGTAGCATGATTTACCGAAAGATTTAGATTTACCTTTAACGTTTTCTTTCGAACGTTTTTAACGTGTAACCCACACGTTAGTTTTCTTGTACTTTGAGACCAATCGAAAGAGGAGAACATAAATAAAGAGTTAGGATATATGTATATACGGATATAATACAGTATTGCCAAGGCTTACGTGACCCAGTAGCGATATATCGATAGTCGGAAAGCGTACGGTGTATTACCTCGTCGTTACAACGCGTCATTTGTTTCTTCTATCGTTGATTTGCGTCTGACGTAAGACTGAACAACAAAACGATATGTGACTCACGTTTGCTTTTGCTAATATTAAACTAACAAAATGACTTGTTATATTTTATTTCGGCTGAAATATTTTATAATTATTCTATATGTTAAATTAATTATTTCAAATAGTAATGATTGGATAAATGATTTCCTTTTTTGAAGTTATACTTCTTTTGGCGCGTTTTGGAAAGTGAAGTTAGATGCGACCGAAAAATCGACACCACGAAGTTGTCGATATTTACGATGCGCGCGCAAATTGAAGTTATTTATTAGGTTATGGAAGTTATATTCGTTTTGATACGCTAAAGAAGTATAACTTCTTACGTGCGTACATAATTACACACACCAGTTTTTTTTTTATTATTAGGGTGAACGAAAAGTTCATGCGTTTATTGTATTATAAACCGTACAACAGATTGTTTTAGTAAAATTGACTTTGGAAAATATTAATTTAAAAAATGCACGCGAACTTTTTAATTAACCCTAATATTATCTTAACGTTTCATAAAAATATCTTCCATATATTCGAACGAATATGAAATATTTTCAAGATCGAAGGTCCCAAACGAACTCGTAGTTTGCTTTGTCTTTCCTTCGAGAATCGGTCTAGTTGAAAATCCCCAAAAAACTGGTTGGTAGATTGAAAAGCGATAAAGGAAAGTTTCAGATCATTTTAAGTACGACGAGAGAGCTTTCGTCGTGGCATCGTGACGTTTTGTTCGTTCGAAAGCTGTTTGGTCTTTCCCTCTCTCTTTCTTTCTTATGTTAGGATCGTATAGTGTGCGCTCGTGCGCGCACGAGAGCACTGTAATCCTATACGTCTCTTGAGAAACTGGTTTCCGCACGACGTGTTGCGGGTAGCGCGCAAAACAAATTAATAACAAGAACATCATAACTGCTGCGCCAAGGCTGTCCGAGAATGGTTGGTCAGACGTTCGAGCTTATACCATAGGCCTTACCGACTTAACTCTTTTTATTTTCTTTTCTTTTCTCTCTCTCTTATACTCGAAATCCCATTTCCA